ATGCCAAGAAAGTGCACAAAACTGGGTTTTGTGTGAAAATATGTTCAGGTCTACTAATGCGCATCACGAAAGTGACGTAATCAAACCAGACATAGAAATAAAATGGCTGTAAGTTCAGTCAATTTCAAATCCTTCTTTCAGGAGGAAAGAACCACCAAAAATCTGGCCATGTGGTAAGTAGCAGCTACACTAGGGGCGAGGAGATTCTGCTGTGACGTCATATAGTATGCAACATGCTGGCATCTGATTTGTAGTCATGCTAAGTACGAACTTTAACAAGCTGATAAATCTCAAAGTATGTTACAGGCATGGTCGAAACACACATCATTAGTTTTCATTTAAAAGAACATGTGTGTGATCCAGGGCGTAAGGCAGATTAGAAAATAGCTCTTTTAGCCCCATTGACTTGCATTCATTTTTTCGTTTTTCCAGGGACCCATGAGCCGACCGGAAAGGGAGGAGACAAGGCTCCCTATTGACAGAGCATGTGGCCATCAATCAAATCAAACAGCAGATTGCATGTAATTGAAATAAAAGTTTATTTAGAACAATGAGTAAAAAATATTTGCTTTTCTATTCTGTTACTACTTTTGTTATATTTGGTTTTATTTTATACATTTGAGTAGTTTATACATACATTGCAAATACATTAATGATTTTCCTGATTAAAACAAAAATATGTACCTTTTAAAAACAAATTACTTTGAAATTAGGTTTGCCCAGTGGCCACCAGAGGGCATATGATCTGATATGTTTGCAGCACTGCACCTAGCCGCTAATTAGCTGCTTTAGCTTGTTGATCATTAAAATAAATGTATTAATTATTTTATTATAAATGTATGTTGTTGTCTTCTCTAGGTCAAAAATTTCCCAGAATACAGCGCAGAATTTTGAAATGGGTGGCAGATCAGGAGCCGGCAGCTACTTCAGAGGCAAATTTCCTGTTTAAATGTAAGTCAGCTAATTGTAGCTATCGAGCTGATATCTGGTAAATTAGGTAATTTTTATGTGGAATGTTTTATTTTGAAAGATTTTACAGGAAGTGCAAATGAGTTATTAATGTTGTAGTAACTGCTTTTTTCCACTAGAGGGAAAAAATGGATTGTTTTATTTGTGGTACAAATGTTGTCCTCGTATTTTAGTAACTATCATGTCTGACTTATGTCTTATTTCACTTCCACATCTGGCCTGGTGGATGGTGTCATCTGGCTGGATGGTGTCAGTCCAGGTCTCACACCGGTAGGAACGTGTAAATCTCTGAGTATGTGGGGGGCCAAAAGACACGCAGAGAAATTCCTTAAATGAAACATCCAGAATGATAATGAATCGCACATGTGGGAAGCCCCCGCTGTCTGATTCTATAGCCAATCGGAGGCTCCCCTATTAGTAGGTGTCAATTAGAGCTGGCCAATCAGTCATTTGTTGGGCCACCAGCCCAAAGCAGACTGCCTTCGGAACAGAGCTGAAAAACGACCTGTTGCTCACAGAAAAAATACAGGCTATCCAGATGTAAACACTTCATACTATATCTGGGCGGAGTGGAGCAACCCCTAGTGTGACAGGGGCTTTAATTTGTTTGAAATATAATACGTGACTTATATACATAACGTCAGATTTTTGTTTTTCTGTCTCCAAATAGTCAAAACCTATTTACATAAAACTCTAACCCCTCCCAAGCTCACATTTGTTTACTTTCTGACTCTTACAAACTAAACTGAAATCCGTTTGGGATGGGTTCCAAACGCCTGGTGCTTCTGAATATTTTCAGAGAAAGTTTGTTTTTAAAAAATTTCAAACATGCTCAAAGTTCAACCAAGAGGAAGGTAATTCTTGATTGGAATCCTAAACATCTTGTACCTAAGACACATTTGCAAACATCACAACTGTAAATGTAGCTGTGGCTACATTGTAGCTTATACATTTGAGTAGTGAATGTGTGTGTAACTGGCAGAATGACTGATTGTGTTGTGAAGCGCCTTGGGGAGTTATAGAACCCTAACAAGGCTATACAAATATTGCACTCAATATATTTGTTTTTTTTGTTTCAGTCACAACTTGGTTTCTTAGGATTCAAACCTAATGATCATCCCTGACCCTAACCTAGAATCTCAGCTGAGAAGGGTTGAACATGATTTCTCAACCCAAAAGAGTTGGAATGAAGGCAACTGGACTTCTTTGGTTTCTTGAAGACGTTTCGCTTCTCATCTTAGGATCTTTCTCAATTCTGACAGGAATATGGGAGAGTCAAAGACATCCAGTTGCCTTCATTTCAACTCTTTTGGATTACCATGACCTGGATGACTGAGAACCTTCACCAGCATATGATTTCTCAACAAATACAAAAACTCTGCAACTGAAAAGGAATTTGTCTTGCAAAGTTTCCAAACATGCAGCACACACAGGTATACCCAAGCAAACAGTTCAAGACATTTTAGAAATTCCATTGTGAATGCATTCATGCATTCAAAGCTTCTGTCCAAGGAGACACTGGCATCACACACAGTCTGTAACCTATTGTCTATTTATAATGAATATATTAATCATTATATAATGTGACAGTAGGGTTTTTTGTACCGGTATTTATTTTTCAAGAACTTCATGATGCTCCAAACAGTGAGGATGTCTATAAGATACAAACAAAATTACAATAATAATGCTTGGCTCAGCAGAATTATAATGTTCAACAGCAGCAGAGAAGCAAAAAGAATTAATAAGCAGAGAACATACGTATAATAGGCACTCTCGGGATGATTAATGGAGTCATCTTCACACTTTACTATCTACATGGCCTCTTATTTTCAATGTAACTGGGTAACAAAGAATTTCCCTTGTCAATACATATCTAGCGACTCTGTTTGATAACTTTGTGTCTCTTGAAGCGTACAAAAATGAAATGATATCCTGGATTAATGCAACTATTGGTGTGTGGTAACCTAATCAGTCGACAGAATGCCATGGAAACGGGCCAAAGGCTTTCTATTTCTAACAGAACCTGGAATAGAAAGGCTGAGAATGTATGTCCAAAACCTGCAGCAGACAGAGGCTTTACTACAACCAAACAGGCTCAAACTTGCTCAAATGTGGAAACATCTAGGGAGAAAAAAATACTATAATTCATTTATTTGGGTGATGACATGTAAGTTAAAAACGTAGTTTCAAAATACCCTAGTGAGCATTTTAATGCCATTTTAGTGTGAGATCAAATGCTTCCTGTCAGAAACTATTCATAATGAAGTCACTTAAAGCTGCTTTCTATCTTATCATTTTCTATAACAACTCTAAACTTTCTATTTATGCCAAATGGGTAAAATATGTCATGTTGCATTTGAAATACATAAATATTAAACATACCTTCAGGAGGAATGTTGAGGCAAGCACACTGACCCTGTTTATAACTTTGAATAGTATGACTCGGAGTTTCATCTTTAGGCTATGCTGTTTAGATCAACATATGCAGCTATATGCATGACCCACTTTTCTCATTTCTTGTTTTGTGTGAAGTTTTACATTTTTATTTGTGTCGTTTCCTTTTATTTTGAAATAAAAATATTTGCATTAAAGCCAGTATACAATAACTCTTTGATGACTTGATTATTATTATTCTGAGCTACTACAGCAATCAATTTCCCTCTGGGATTAATAAAGTATTTTTGAATTTGAATTGAATTTGAATTGAATTTTGGACAGACAATTAAATGTTAGAGGGTGATCTTGTGCAAGATGCATCAAAGTTTTTAAAAAACAGTCTAGTTTGTAGGAAAATTCTTGCTTTTTTTCATTTTATCTGTTTAAATCTTCATAATGCTTGAACCATTCTATCTGCAATCAATATTGGTTTCATTTTTTAAATATATATTTTTAAGCCCTGATACAAATAGCTAGACAACAACAGTTACTGGAGGTACTGTCAAAAAGTGACTTTAACTGTAAGTAGTTATATAAACGTCTGTGAAGAGTCATGTATTCCTGTTTCTCTAATTTCCTAACGAAATTGATAAATAAGTACCTTAGGAAACTGATAAAAAGTTTTAAAAGCATCATTTTAAAAGACTGGAATCACCTGTCGATCGTGAGGAACTCAAAACATACATAATTCTCACATCAGACTAAATCGGGTTTATTTGAACAAGAAACTGACATTTACAATACTTCTTATCTTAGATTTAACAATAAGTATTTTAATGAACACATTAAAGTGATAGTGTGCATTTTCTCTGGCGATAGGCAGCAGTAAATCATTGCAAGCAAGCAGTATTTTTGTGTTTGAGTAAGGCCTTGCCAACCATTGGGGTCAAAAATCCCTGGGAGTGCATCCTCCAGCAAAATGACAAGCATAGACTCCTTTCATCACTGGCAATGATTTAAGAGGTAAATGTGTAAAACAACATTTATGAATGGTGAAAATTTTGTAAATGTATTTTGTCTTCACAGGTTCCCATAGAAGGAAACATGGCATCGTCCCACAGACTTGGGCCTGTTCCCATGTATTTTAGACTGGATTTTTATGGTTATATGTTACAAAGCTGCCAATACTTTTCAACAACCATCCTTTAATTCATTTTCAACAACATTTCAATAGATCGTAAAAACTACACATCGTCACTTTAAGCAGTAGAAACCGATTTCTTCTTCCCAATCGTCGCATTTTTTTTTTCTTTTGAACGATCAGGATGTCCGGAGCGTGCTCCATGGAACTAAAACTAAGGAGAGTCCTGGTCTAGACATTATCTCTGGGCATTTCAGGATTGTGCAGACCCATTCTCAGGTGGTTTTGATCATGTTTAGATACTCTAGCTGACAGATCAAAGCGAGTCCTGGTGAAAGTTTCTATGTCATATGAGGCATTTTCCTGCACAGGTTCTACTCCTGGGATTTGCTGTCTCTCTTTTATTGTTTATCCAACACCAAAGATTGCAGGAGTCATTATACAGGGTAACATATTTTGATGTTTGCAGATGACACATTTATGGATTGTCTATTAGAGAGAGAGGATGACTCACCTGGTCAGGTGGCGACGGAATGTTTGGTGTGATGTTACCGTTCCTATTTAAAACTAAATGACAAAAACCAAAGATTTAGATTTCAGAAAGAAGTCCAGTCCACCACTGCTGCATGATATAATTTTTTTAAGTCGATAGTCAAGTAATGAAAATCTAGTCGACTTTGACTAGTTGTTGATGATGTCATACACCTGAAGCGGCTAAAACTAACGAAGGGGGACCAAGCGTTTTTTTTCGGACGCACGGGGGGGGGGGGGGGGGGGGGGGGGGTTCGCTGGAGTTTTTGACAATTAAAATTGCGCCCACATTTTCAAAGTTAAACACATCTCTTTTAACAATGGTAATTTCTGCATCTTTACTGTTCATCTCCTTCAGCCCCCCCCCCCCACACACACACACACACACACACACACACCCGCGCGCAGCAGCAGCAAACTCACTGATGCGTCTGCAGCCTCTCAGAGTTCCTGCTGCTCTAAACATTAAAATAATTAATTCATTTTCTGTTCCTCGCCTCTGATTACCTTCAATGGTGTCTGTTTGTTGCAACCACCAGGTACAAAAACTAACTTGTTTTTATTTGACTATTTTTCTGTTCTGTCTGTTTATTATCTTCCTGCATCTCCTCTCAATCCTAAAGAAAAACTGCTACATGGCTTCATACATATTCACCTTATGAGTTACCTTTGAACTGCAGTTCTAAAAGATCTACCGACCACAAAAACAGCGGAGTGCGCGCTGCGCGCCGGCTGCACCAGTGAGGTGAAGTCACCGGAGGACAAAACAGGTGATGCACTCCGCTCCACAGCAGCGAAACGCATCAGGCACAAATAACAGACAGAAAAACATAAAAGGAAATGAGCCGACATAAACGATTGCATGTTAAATTTGTTTTTGAGGTGGCGACACCTAATTTTATAATGTTACTGTGGCCGTGCTCAGGACGCAGATGTCTGGAGCACATCAATCAGAGCTTTGCATGCGCAAGCTGGTTAAGGTTAGGGTGGGGGTGAGGGGAAGGTGAAGTTGCAAGAGGGTAAAGGTCACAATTCGGTCAAATGTCCATTTTACCGCGGGCGTCAGATATCGACGCTCTGACATAGCGCGTCGCCTCCTGACATGCAGGGGCTCATCACCTGCTGTCTTTTCCGAGGACTGCATCTTGCCGGTCATTATCACGTGACAGAGACTAGTCGATGAAAGGCATAAAAAGTCACTACAGAGCAGTGAAGTCGACTACCCGAATAGTCGACTGGTTGATGCAACCCCTACCACCTATAGTTTTCCTATGAAGGGGAACCAGTGGAGTGTGTTCAGAGGTAGAAGTAGAATGTTGGCATTGCCCAAGAACCTGGCATTCAGTGAAAAATCTGAACATGTCAGCTAAAAAGCACATCAAAGATTGCCCTTCTGGTGCAAATTAAATCAATTTGGAGTATGTAGAAAGTTCTTCACCATTTTCTACTGCAAGAATATGTGCTTGCATTTTCTTAGAAGTTTAAGTATCTCAGGGTCTTGTTCAAGGGTGAGGGAAAGATGGAGCATGAGATCAACAGGCAAATTGATGCTGGGTCTGCAGTGATGTGGGCATTGTACTGGTCTATCATGGTGAAGAGAGAGCTGAGCCAGAAGGCAAAGCTCTGTATTTACCAGTTGGCCTACGTTCCAACTCTTACCTATGGTCACAAGCTTTGGGTAGAGGCCAAAAGAATGAGATTGAGGATACAAGCGGCCAAAAGGAGTGTTCTCTGCAGGGTGGCTGGGCTCTCCCTTAGAGATAGGCTGAGAAGCCCGGTCATCTGGGAGGAGCTCGGAGTAGATCTGCTGTTCCTCTACGTCAAGAGGAGCCAGTTGAGGTGGCTCAGGTATCTGATTAGGATGCCTCCTGGAAGCTTCCCTGGTCAGGTTTTCTGGGCACATCGTCACGTTTAGGAGAGTAGGACCCAAATTGCAAAACCCAGGATGACACGAGGCAGGAATTGAAATAAAGGAAATCCTTTTATTGTAGAATGTGTCCAAAATAAAGAATAAATCCAAGAACAGGGAGGGAGCCAAAATCCAAGAATCCAGGGAGTCAAAAAACACCAGAGGAACGAGCAGACTGACAGGACTAATAACGCTGACAAGCAACAATGGACTGACAAGAACACAGAGACAGACAGGGCTTAAATACACTGGGAGGAGCAATCAGGGAAACAGGAAGCAGGTGTGTGGGGTGAGCTGCTGGAGGGAAGGCAGGTGACACTAATCAACTCAATGGGGAAAACAGAAACAGAGGATGGCAAATACCTTAACACAAAACTAAACAACAATTTCCTAAAGACAGAGGGAAGGACTCACACAAACTAGCTGGAGGAGGACATAGTACATACACACACACTGAGCTGGGGACAACGAGGCTGGAGCTGACCTGGGAGGAAACAGTAAAAGATAACATCAGACACTAGACTGACACACAAACTGACACACAGAAACTGACACAGAAAAAGGACACAAGAGGGCGCCAAAGGGCTACAACATAAGACACAAAACAGGGGTGCAGACAAGGACACATGAGGGCGCTAAGAGAGCACAAGGGGAGCTGGGGGAACAAAGGGACACAAGAGGGAAGCTAGAGAGGGATGGAGGACACCAGGAGGCACATAAAGGAAGGGGGCTGACGCCCTCAAAGGGCGGATCCCAGACGCCCACAGGAACCAGGAGCAGGGCGGGAGGAGGGGAACCCGGAGGGAGGGCCCAGAGGAACAGAGGGACCACAGGAGAGGTGGCAGGGATCAGCAGAGTCAGGAGGCCTGCCCCTGCGGCAGATGAGGAGGCGACGGGCCCTGGGAGGCCGGCGCCCGGGGCAGATGAGGAGACGAGGACAGACCCTCGGGGGCCTGCACCTGAGGCAGAAGAGGAGGCGACGGGCCCTGGGAGGGCGGCGCCTGCAGTAGAGGAGCCCTGCAGGCCGGACTGGTGACAAAGTTCCTGCAGGCTGGGCCGGTGACACAGTCCCTACAAGCTGGGCCGGAGCGGCCTTCAAAACCACCATCAGAACCGGAGATGTTGGACTGGACGGAGCGTCGACTTCTTGAGTGGAGAGAGCATCCTCAGACGAGCCGACTTCGGACACGTCGTCGTCAGGGGCGTCGACTTCGGACACGTCGTCGTCAAGGGGGGTCGACTTCGGACACGTCGTCGTCAAGGGGGGTCGACTTCGGACACGTCGTCGTCAAGGGGGGTCGACTTCGGACACGTCGTCGTCAGGGGCGTCGACTTCGGACACGTCGTCGTCAGGGGCGTCGACTTCGGACACGTCGTCATCAGGGGCGACGACTTCGGACACATCGTCATCAGGGGCATCGACTTTGGAACAGGAAGGGGCGTCGACTTCGGAACAGGAAGGGCCGTTGACCACCATCGACTTCGGGTCCAGGGGCGTTGACTTCTGACCCGGGGCCCCATGGATGGGCTGGACCGGAGCCCGTGCATCCTCCTCTGCCGAGGCAGGGTGCGATGCGACCCTCGGGACCACCGTCGGAGCAGGATGCGATGCGACCCTCGGGACCACCGTCGGAGCAGGATGCGATGCGACCCTCGGGACCACCGCTGGAGCAGGAGCCACCTGAACTGTTGCTGCTTTGGCCCCAGAAGACCTCTGACGGCGGCTGCTGCGACGTCGTCGACGTGGGGAGTCTTGGGTCAACAGAGGTGTGGAGGTGACGCTGGCAGGCACTGAGGATGAGATACAGCCCACCAGAGAGGAAGTGGTGGTGCTGTCGGGACCAGGTGAGGGTGTGGTAGAGCTCTCTGGAACTGGTGGAGGTGTGGTGACACAGACCATAGGAGGTTGAGTTATGGAGATGGCAGGAACAGTTGGAGAAGTGTGGTGGCAGCCCACCGTAGAGGAAGTGGTGGTGCTGTCAGAACCAGGCGGAGATGTGGATGCATGGTGCTTTTTAGACGCTGAGAAGGCAGCTCTTAATATGGCGCTTGCTGATGGATTATAATCCACAGAGGAGGGAAACTGTGGGCTGCTGCAGGCGTCCAGCAGATCCTCTGCGAAGTCCCAAAACACCAACTCCTGAATTGGATTCTGATCAAAATATAGGCTGGCCCATTGCAGAGCTCTCCCCCTTAGGAGGAACACCAGGTTAATTACCAGATCAATGTCTGGCGTGTCCGTGTCATGAAGCATAACAAAGTCCAGAAGAAAAGTCTTACAGGAGTCCGGGTCACCGTGGAAGGTGTACATCCGTGGCCGCTGGGTCCTGGTTGGTCGGTCCATTCTGTCACGTTTAGGAGAGTAGGACCCAAATTGCAAAACCCAGGTTGACACGAGGCAGGAATTGAAATAAAGAAAATCCTTTTATTGTAGAATGTGTCCAAAATAAAGAATAAATCCAAGAATCCAGGGAGTCAAAAAACACCAGAGGAACGAGCAGACTGACAGGACTAATAACGCTGACAAGCAACAATGGACCGACAAGAACACAGAGACAGACAGGGCTTAAATACACTGGGAGGAGCAATCAGGGAAACAGGAAGCAGGTGTGTGGGGTGAGCTGCTGGAGGGAAGGCAGGTGACACTAATCAACTCAATGGGGAAAACAGAAACAGAGGATGGCAAATACCTTAACACAAAACTAAACAACAATTTCCTAAAGACAGAGGGAAGGACTCACACAAACTAGCTGGAGGAGGACATAGTACATACACATACACTGAGCTGGGGACAACGAGGCTGGAGCTGACCTGGGAGGAAACAGTAAAAGATAACATCAGACACTAGACTGACACACAAACTGACACACAGAAACTGACACAGAAAAAGGACACAAGAGGGCGCCAAAGGGCTACAACATAAGACATAACAGGGATGCAGACAAGGACACATGAGGGCGCTAAGAGAGCACAAGGGGAGCTGGGGGAACAAAGGGACACAAGAGGGAATCTAGAGAGGGATGGAGGACACCAGGAGGCACATAAAGGAAGGGGGCTGACGCAGACCATGACACACATCCAACCAATAGAATACCTAAGGGAAGACTCAGGACACACTGGAGGGACTATGTCTCTCAGCTGGCCAGGGAATGCCTTTGGATTCCCCCAGCCTTAGGATTTCCCTTTTATGGGATTCTTCACAAATAAAATTTATTATATTAGATTCCATTAGCATGCTCCCTAACATGATTTCTTCTTCTTCAGTAAGTGAGGCAGCATCAAAGGTAACTGTAGAACTTCATCTGCGTTTGAACTGTTTTGATTCAGTTGGACTTTCAGAGCTATCAATTTTTTTTGCTTCATCTAAACCTTTAACTTGCAGTAATCCCAACCAAACTTTTTAAAGAAGCATTTCCTTTGGTTATTGCACCCATTTTAGATATAATCAATCTATCCTAAGGAAATAGATATGTACCGCAAGATTTTAAATTTGCTGCAATCAAACCTCTACTTGAGAAATCTTCTGTGGATCCAGAAATTAAAAATAATTGCAATGAACAGATCTGGGGGAATAACGCTGTCAATACAACTGGCTGTGGGGCAATTCAGCTGCTACAGCCCCATCTACTGGACAACTTTTTGTGGTTTTTGTGCCTACATGTAGTTATCATTTATTGTTATAGAGGTGAACTCCTCAATATACTGTGATATGGATTTTAGGCTATGTCACCCAACCCTACTTAGAATTTTTTTAAATAGGTTGGGAGGCTGATCTTTTAGTCATCAGGTTCCTCTTCTATGGAACCAACTCCCAGCTTTAGTCTGCGAGGCAGACACCATTTCTACTTTTAAGACTAAGCTTTAAACTTGTTTCTTTGATAGGGCTTATGGTTAATTCTGAATGATGTTAGCCCAGATGTGGACAAGTGGGGAAGGAGGTGGAGTGTACATTGGGGAATGACATTGGAAAGACAGTTCTCCTTGGCTTTGCCTCCCACATGGCTTCATAAATGTTAAGTTATCCAGAGTTATTTCTGTAGTTATGCTGCTATAGGCTTAGACTGCTGGAGGACATACTGACCAAATTCCGCACTCTGTTACTTTAATAAATTGCATTTTTTTTTTGTCATTTCAGCTGTTAACTTTATGTTCTCTCTATGTGTTTTTCTCCCCAGAAGAAGCTACAATGGTGTTCTGCTGAGCTGTGATGACCTCTTAAAAGGGGCCACTGGCTGGCACACTGCTGCCAACCACTGAACATTCTCCCTCTCCTGATAATAACTTTTTACTTTCTTTAACATAGAATGTGCTACTACTAGTTCACCTGTTAAACTGATTACAGATCTATTCAGATAAAGAAAATAAAGTGTATATCTTACTATACACAATGTATGCTGCTATGTATATACAAATTTACATTGTTTCCTTACATAGGAAACTTTTAACTGAATGGCATAATGAACTGAACTTTATTGAAATATTTACTTTGTGAAGTGCCTTGAGACAATTCTTGTTGTGATTTGGCGCTATATAAATAAACTGTGAAACACAACTTAAGTGATACTGAAAATCTCATCCATTATTATTATGTTATTACATTTTTGATTTGATATCGTAAAATACTCATTGTCTGCATTTTTGCTGTATTTTTTTTTTTACTTTTTTTAACTTAAAATGTTAATATGTCTTCCAATTGGACATATTCATGTTTTTTAAACAAACATAACTATTTTAAGAGGACTGAGCCAACACAAAAGTATTGTTTTATGTGCTGAGTTCAAAATCAGTCATCATTACAGATACAAAATGTCTTGTTTGTTGACTTACTTAATGCCTGTGAATTTTAGAGAGCCTTCTGAGACTTGTGTTAAATCATCATTCCCAAGAGAAAAAGAGGAGTGCATAAACAGTACACCAGCTGAGCTGGAGTTAATTACTTTCCTTCTATAAAAACTGGTAAATTTGCAGTTTATTGACTCAAAAGCAACAAACTTTACTAAAAAATATTTTTTATCAAAATAAAACAACATCAAGGGCATTTTATTTTTTTATAAACTTTGGTTTTCATGATTAGTAACTAGGCATAGACATATGAAGCAGGAGTTGAAGGCACAAGGAAATTACGTGCCCTCTAGTGGCTGGCTGCAGCATATGTTGTTGACCCCGCTTCCCTTTTCAATAATGGCGGTAGTTAGAGACCAAAAAATGAAAAATATAAACTAGCTGGTGGTCATAATCTGTCAGGTTTTGACATCAGTGGTTTTGTCATTTTTCAGCCAATCCGAAAGTTTTTGTTTCTTCTGTTTAAATTAAATGTTATATTTCACTCAAATCTTCTATGTGGACGTTTATACCTTCAGACTGTTCTTTTTCAAATTCATCATAAATGTAAAAAGTATTACGTTAATTATAGTTCTGTGTGATAGGTCACAAACAGCCATAATCAGTATCGGCAGGTCAGAGCTGCACAATAATTTTAAATTGGTTGTAGCCCTCAAAACTAGAATCAGTGCTTCTAATATAGGCAGTTTGTTCAGTAATAAGTTGATTGACCTACTAAGTAATGGTAAGAAAAACACTAATGAGTTGTAACAAACAGGTACAGATCTTTTACAAGCAGATGTCCTATTTTTAGCAACATTTTATCATATCAAAAATTAAAAAAATAAAAAGTCATTTAATTTTATTGCATTTCTGGGCCTTTTTTGGGGATGTTTTGCATTCTTTGGTGACCAGAGGCCAAATTGTTTTCCCTGACAACCTAAACTAATCTCATTTTAAACTCTTATCGCCATCTGGTGTTTGAAAGAAAGTCCTGCATCAGGACTGCTGAATCCAGTTTTAAATGTGGAGCTAATCTAAAATAAAATCTAACTTTTCAAGCTGAATTATAGTGAGATACAGAAAATGAAAGCAACAATATGCTAGAATTAAAAAGATGAACTATGAAAAAAAAAGTTCCTGCCTAATGGGCAGTGCCTCTCATTATTTCCAATCACAAACAGCGAACTCAGAAGTGACACGTCCACATGTGCACGAGTGTTGAACGAGAGAGGACTGAGCACATCTGCAGCTTTAGCAGTTTGCTTTGGCGGCAAGCAGCTGAATCTGGCTGTGTGTACAAACAGATACATGCTCTTGCTGACGGTCTCTGTCTCTCACTCACGCACACACACACACACACACACACACACACACGCGCGCATACACCACGCAGTCTCATCCCTGAATGCATTAGCAGTTACGGCTCCCTTCGTTTGTAGCTACTGTAAACCCTCTGTTTCTCTCTCAGTCTCTCTCCTCCTTGTGTACTTCCTGTCTGACTGACAGCAAACAGAATCCCAAAAATGAAATATGCTGGGCAGTGATGTCTAAACCATTACATCACACACTGCTTTTTTTATTCTCTTATATGAATCTAGGTTTTGGTTAAGCATCGGTGAATACTTAACTCGTTTGGGGGGATGTACTCACTAAAAGTTTTAAGTGTTATCCTTGTATTTACCCACAGCTTACTCATTTCTGCTTCTTTTATTGATTTACATCAATAAATAAGTCAAATGTGCATTTTACAGCTTATTCTGCAGCAATAGAGTGACTCTAATATGTTTTGATTTCAGTTAGTTGGTTCTTTGACTTGGAATAAGTGAATAAATTAAATAAACTGAACTAAAATCTGCTTGCGTGGGTGTATCTAGCCACATTGCCCTGTTATTAGGTTCTACCTAGCATCAAAATCTAGTTCACGCTGACATGTTCCTTTGTGTTTTTAACAAACGGGCATCGCTTTGCTGTCCTCGCCTCCTCTAAACCCTAAAAAGAGCTTCAAATGAAATCAGCAAGGTGCTTTTAGTCAGGTTACATCAGCACACTGATTAACACAGAGGCAGAGTGCAGGACAGAGGAGAGGGCAGAAAGAAAAAAAAAGCCTGCAGGAGTGAGGGGGGGAAGCAGAATGTACGCTCCGTTCTACTCTGTTGCCTAGCAACAACCTCCTTGCTGTCTGTTTCCATCTTTACGGTAGGCGCATTACTCGCAGTGAATTGGTTTCTATACCTGACGTGAAGACCCTGTGAGACACGGGGCTCAGGAGCAGATGAAAACAGGATTGGGAAACGACATCTTTAAATATGCAAATAGCTCAGGGCAAAAGAGTCACTTGAACAATCCGACGCTCATAGCGCACATCCCAGCCGGGATTTAAACACTCAGTGGGACTGCAGAGGCATGCTGTACTCTTTTGGTTGTATTATGCTTCATAATGTTCCATGCTAACAGAAACGTGGGAGAGCACATGGATGCTGAGGTCACTGAAGTGTTAAAGTCACAGCTGCCTGGTTAACTCGTAAAAACATGATTTTAAAAACTTTCTTTTATTTGCTAATTTTGATATTTTTAAGTGATTTCTAGCTTGTTTTTGATCTGCCAACCAAGTTTTATTTGTGTTTGAAACAGGCCAAATGAATACGTCACTGATGACCCATAACATTATCACCACCTGCCTTACAGGCTCTTGTGTTGACACCAGAACAGCTGTGACCAGTCAAACACGGACATTAACCCTTTCATGCATAATGGCCACTACTGTGGACTCAAATGTTTCTCTCTCTCTCTCTCTCTCTCTCTCTCTCTCTCTCTCTCTCTCTCTCTCTCTCTCTCTCTCTCTCTCTCTCTCTCTCTTATTTTGCTATTAAGCAAAGCTGTTCAAGATGATTGAAAATTAAGTTTTACAAAATCCTAATCGAAGATTTTATAATTCATGCATGGGTTGACAGACCGTAATTATGGATGTTTTTACTGACACAAGCATGTTTTTCACAACTCATTACTGCTTTGTGTAGTTTCCTATATGTGGACACAGTCATCCACTGTTGACTCATCCTAACTGACTTGCTTTCTATTGTGTTTTAATTCATTAATTTATAGATAGTGGTGGAAATGTGGGAGTATTTCATTCTATTTGTTGGTGTTTTTCCCCTCCTTCCTATTAGAGGCTATGCATCTCGCCAGGATGCCAAATAAAACTTGTGCTCTTAATGACCTGCCTGTTTAACGTAAACTTGGGAAGAAAAAAAAAGTGCAATAATAAGTTCAACAGTCTTACTGACTGCACCTCTCATGATGATTTGGCTAACTATTGCAGCATGATTTGAAGAACTCTAAACGCTCATTCGTTAAATGTTGGATCAGTAATGGAATACATGATAAAGTATTAATCATACGATGTTTACATGAAGTAAAACTCTTAAAGGGAACATATTGTGAGACAATGCTGACACAAACAATGGACCAACAACACATTGTGACGCAGACAGGGTTTTATACACAGGGGCATGATGATTGGGAGATGAGCTGCAGGTGCATGGGGGGAGAGAAACTTGGAGAAATCAATCTACTAATCAGGGAGAGAAAACTAAGCTGAGGAGGGGAAATAAAACATGACCTATGAATAATAACCAAACCTAAAGACTAGAAGAACAAGACAAATAACTAATGATCTAAGGAGGAAAGGAGAACTAATAAACCGGTGGGGAAGGGCCTAGAAGAAAACCTGAACCTAAGAAACTACAGGGAAAAATTAGCTAAATAAAATAAATACAAAGAAAACTAAAGAATAAGTGAACCTGGGAAAACCTGGTGGGAGCTAGAGATCTAAAGTGGCACAGAAACCTAAGGGGAGAACCTGGAGTGGGGATGGGTAACACAAGGAGACACATAAGGGGAACTTAGAGGGGGGCTGGAGAACACATGAGGGGGACGCAGGACGCAGACCATGACAGCTGTAACTGTCTTTTCCTTTAGCTCTAAACTGTAATTTTATCTGTGTATTTAAATTTGTGTTTTATGTTGTTTTCATAACATGTCCTGATAATTGTAAAGCACATTGAATTGCCTCTTTGTTTGAAATGTGCTCTATAAATAAAGCTGGCTTGCCTTGCCTTGCCACGTGTCTGATTTTGTGAAAAAGCTTGATAAAATGTGATTTTTAGTTGGGTAAACACCTTCCTCAGTAGAAATTAATGCACTGGGAGCGAATGGAGATTGGCTGCAAACTCCCCTCCATACAGGACCTGAACACCTGCAGTACCATGCGGCTTGCAGGTCGGATCACAGCAGGCCCCTCTAAACCTGAACACAGTCTCTTTGACTCATCTCCCATCTGGCAGGAGGCGCCGATCCATTCGGACCAGAACCTCTTGCCACAAAAACAGTTTCTTCTCCTCTGCGGTCGGACTTGTGAACGGCAGTCGTAAACCTGCCCACTCCAGTTGCTTTGTTTCAGTCACGTGACCCTGTGTTGTGTTTGCACCTGAACTGATCCGCTCTAACCAGTACCTACACTGACTAGTAGCTGCTTCTCTAATTATTGATTCCCTATGTTATTAGCATTTCATTGTGCTTATCATTTCTTTTTTCCTTGCACCAAGTACAGCAATTTCCTAATGTTGTGATTCTGCCACATATAGCAATAAAACCCTTCTGATTCTGTTGGCGGCTGGCCACTTCAGCAGCTCCCATAGGCAGCGCCAGTCCATGGGGCATCTACGTTTATATGCCTGTGGGTGAGAGGTGCTTCTTTTCTAATTTCCCCGTTTGTGATGTCACAAATGATGACTTTTTGAAATGGTTTGTTTTAGGCTCATTCTTTCTGAATCCAAACACTAACAGAAAATGGGTGGATGTTTTCTTTTCACATTTGGATTGTTTATTGTTGATTGTTTATTGAGGCAGCACAAAGGTATGCAAAAGGTGAGTTTTGCATGAAATGCCGCCTTTAATATTAAAAAATATTTAGTTGCATTATGTAAAAGTAGAAGCTGACATTTGTACAGTTAATTCAACTCTAAATCTGCAGTGTATCATGAATACATTGATAACTGAAGCATGTTATACAATAATCTCTTTTTCAAGTTCTGTGTATAGTAGCTTCAACGTTTGAGGTGATTTTGCAGCAGATCTATCAGGACATTTTCAAATTTAATCAACAACCTGTATGTCCCATTTATCCTGACCTTGGATTGAGATTAATGTCCCCTCAGTGAGCTTTACCTTTACTGTAACAGTAGCAGCACCTGTGTGGAGTGCAGTTACCTTGCCTTTAGTGTGCAGGTGATTGTGGTGTGCACTTCTGGCATTGATCATAGCCAGCTGTCTTTGGATCCACTGTAACTCCACCTGAGACTGTCTCAGCATAGTTGCCACATTACTGCTGGTGGTCTGATCCTTCATCGTCACCTGTAAAATCATCCAGAGACATCACATCATCAATCCATATTCTCTACTCTCTACGATTCTTTTTTTTTTTTTTGACAAAGAAAGATGTGGCAAAAGCACAATCACATTAACTGTGAGTAATTAGATTATTTGGGAATTCCTCTGAACTGGTATGTAATATATACACAGAAATCCCCATACTTTTTTTTCTCCCCTGTCTGGCTGTGAAGCAAACAGAATGAATGTCTGAATGCTGGTGACAAGCCTAACAGATTTACTCTCAGGTGGAGCATCAAAGCTTCTGCTTTAATGTCACGCGTGATACTTGTCATTGTTTTTTGGATGCTTTATAATTCCGA